ACCCCCTAGCTCCTTCCCTCAGATTCCCCAGCGCATACCGACGCTTTCACTCATAAAATAACTAAGGTATAGCTCTCCTACATTGGAATATTCGCGCGGTTTCGTCATATCCTTCCTTCTTATAGTCCATCTATTATTTGCTTCCAAGAGCCTTTCCTTACACATCCTCCTATTCCAATTCCCAATTACCATTTTATCTTTTCCTCACACTCCCTTTATGTCTCATCTATACTTATCCATCATCAAACACCTTATGTCATACCTACTATACAAACCACTGTCTCATGCACAGTTATTCACATCTTTATTCGCCGCTGGGTCACAGTGATTTCAGTCTACTTCTCCCCATCCCATCCCATTGACTTTGCTGCATTTGAAACTCTAATTTCCCAACTCCAACCACCTTTCCTCGCAGTTGGTGATTTTAACTGCCGCCACACTCTGTGGGGTGACTCTATCACCAACTCCTGAGGCCGATCTCTAGAACGCTTCCTCTCCACAAGTAATCTAATTATTTTAAATTCAGATCGCCCCACACACTTTGACATGCGCACACAATCCTTTTCATGCCTTGACCTCTCTTTATGCTCCCCTACTCTTCATTTAGATTTCCATTGGTCAGTTCTAGACCACTTCCCCTATAGTGACCACTTCTCAGTACTCCTTTCTCCTATCCCTCGCTTCTTCATGATCCTATTACTTTCCCTCTACCCTTCCCTCTCTTTTTTCTCTCACTTTCGTTACTTTTTACACTTTTACTCTCTCGCTCCACCTCCCTCTTCTAATCCTTCTTCCACCAAAGCGCTTCGCTTAAAACGAGCAGCCTGGAACAGCTATCACTACAAACGAGGCACCCCTCACCAGTTATCAGCCCTTATTTCCTTTAAAAGGGCATCTGCCCATCTTCGCCGTACAATCAGAAACAGTAAAACAAAAAGCTGGCAAAATCATGTTTCATCAATTACATCTACATCTATTTCAGCTGTTTGGCGAGGGATCCATAAATTATCAGGCAAACATCCCCCCATCCTGTCCCCGTTCTTCATATTTGAGATACTCTATATCTCTGATCCTATCGAAGTAGCTAATGAACTGGGCGACTATTTCAGCCAGGTCAGTAGTGGCTCTCACCTCTCCCCACACTTTTCTTCCATTAAAGCCACCAAGGAACGCACCCCTTTCACCTTCACCCTATCCTCTGATGAGTCCTATAATGCTCCTTTTTCTTCTTCTGAACTCAATGTTGCATTACAGTCGTGCCGCAACACTCATGAGGGCCTTGATGGTATTCACTATCGTATGCTCCGACACCTTCCATCTTCCTCTCTATCCTTCCTTTTAACTATTTTCAAGCACATATGGACGTCAGGAAATTTTCCTTCTATGGGCGAGAAGCTCTTATCCTACCTTTCTTAAAACCCAATAAATCAGGTACCCTACCCCAAGATTACCGCCCCATTGCTCCAACTAGCTTCTTGTGCAAGCTACTAGAACGAATGGTTAACTTTCGCTTAATGTGGTATCTTGAATCTCATGATCTTTCGCCTTCCCAGTTTGGGTTCCGCCGTGCCCGAAGTACAGTAAAACCACTTGCCCATTTTGAAACATATATTACATCTGCATTTGCACGCCATTAATCCATATTAGCCATATTCTTTGATCTAGAAAAAGCATATGATACCACATGGCGGTACCATATTCTCCAGTTGTCCTCCCTAGGTTTACATGGAAACATGGGTGTCTTCATAATTTTTTTCCTTTCTAAACGTACTTTCCAGGTTAAAATTGCCTCTTCCACGTAATCATCCTTTCGAAGGCATCCCACAAGGAAGTGTGCTTTGTACCACTTTATTCCTTCTTGCTGTAAATGACATAGTCTCAGTCCAACCACCAGGAGTGCGGGCATCATTATGTGTTGATGACAACCATCTACGTATCTGGCACATCCAGATCAGATCTCTGTCAATTTCTTCATTCTGCAATAACATCAGTATCTTCTAGGGCCACTAACCATGCCTTTCACTTCTCTCCGAATCTTTCTCCATCCTTTTCTTTCGCTCACGTATAGGTCCCCAACCCCCACTCTTCTTATATGACGTTCCACTCCAATACCGTTCTTCTGAATATATAACCTCTCTGTTCGGGATTCGATCCCGCGCCGCCAATGAACAGGCAGACACTCTAGCACGCTATACCGCTATGTACACATCATGTCAACTACGCTTCTCACATATTCCAGCTACGGATTATTACCCCCACTTAAAAACCTTCTTGTATACCCGATGGCAATCTTTCTGGTCAAACCTCCACAATAGTAAAATACATACTGTAAAACCATTAATCTCCTCTTGGTCAGCTCCATTTCAGAGGAACAGACGCTGGGAGACGGCCCTCGCACGCTTACGTATTGGTCACACCCGCCCATCTAATGTCACGCTCTGACCCGCCCCTATGTCCTTTATGTAATGTCCTTCTTTCAGTCCCACACATTTTGTTGTCCTGCCCACGCTTTACTACAGCCTGCACTTCTGCTTTCCCCACCTATCCTACCTTCACCGATCTCCCAGACATATCAGACATCCTTACAGAATCCCACAGCTTCTGCCTTGATAACCTGTTCTTCTTCCTCAGACGCATAAATACCCTTCACTTGATCTAACTCCCTTACCTAAACCACCATAACCCTTTCCCTCATCAACCCCCTTACCCATCTTCAACTTTTCAATATTACTCTAGATAGTTGACGCATAGCAACTATCACCTGCCATCAACCTTTACTATACCTTCCTATAGTGCTATATGACCATAAATGTCTAGCACATTTATTTCGCTTTTAACCATTGACCATTAACCATCAGAGTCTGGTGATTATAAGATTCCCTACATTTCTTTCTTGTTTATTGCACTGCACAAAACAGTATACAATAGATATAGTACCATTAATGTAACATTCAACAACATAGAATGCACTTGTATCTCTATAAAAAAAGAAAAAAGAAAAAAGTATTAGATGTATAACAAGAAAATGTGACACTGAACCCGTAAACTTGATTTATCTAAAAAATATACGACTATTCATAGTGAGTTTGTTGCAGGGCTAAAGGTTTAAAGTCACTCTATGGGACTGTGTCTCTGCCTTTGGTGATGCCCATCTGGAAGACCCATTGACCTGACATCGAATGAAATTTCCGCCGTGATGACATTTGGTCTGCCACATCATATCAGGTCATACCAAGATGGTTTAAGGAATTTTTATGTTTGATTCATTTGAGCAAAGAAAAATATTTCATTGTTGCTTTAAATA